CAGCCTCAGAAACAACCCTACCTGAATTAAAAAAAAAAAAAAAAAAAAAAAAAAATCAAAAAAAAAAAATCTATCTTTATTGTTTAAAGCACATGTGTCAAACACAAGGCCCGCGGGCCAAATCCGTCCCGCCAAGCCTTGCAATGTGGCCCACACCGCGCTGTCATCACTGCACTCCGCTGCGTTTCCATCACAATGACAGTTTATGACTGTTCAGTAAACCATTCGGCCCGCGATTTAGGCTGGATTTTAGATTTTGGCCCCTTCTCTGATTGAGTTCGACACCCCTAGTTTAAAGTATTATAAAACTTTATTGTTTAAAGTATTCACCCCTCCCTTGTCATGCCCTCTTCCCCACTCCTGTCCCCCAGCCTTCACCCCACTATTGTCTGTGTCCATGTGTTAAGGATATCCTAGATAATAAAAGAGTAATATGCAAATTGAAAAAAAAATAAAATTAACCTCTGTAAATACATACCATGCCACCTACAATAAGTCAGACAGGCTATCCAGCCTCCTATTTTCCACCTCAGAGGCTAAGAACAAACCTTCACAGAACAGAGTGCAACTATGCCATTTCTGAACTGAGATTCCTACTATTTAATTAAGCTAAAGCCAATGACAAACATAAAAATGCTGTCGTCACTGAGTTTTCTGAATTGCTGCCTCACAAGTCTCCCACATACAATTAAAAGTTTTTACCTCATGCCTATGTTTTCAATTCCAATTTAGAAACAAAATACTCGCAGAAACTTCAGTACCCAAGTGTAGGTTTAGTACAGGGCTTATCTTTTATTTATTTATTTATTTTTTTTTTTTGGGGGGGGGGGCGGGGGAGAAACACTCCAGATAAGCCAACCATAGATTTTTTTGATCTATGGTTATGGCCATACACTTGAATTTCACCAATAAATGGAAACAGACAAGAGAGGGAATTCGCCACACCGGGAGCAGGTCTGCACCTGATCTTGCTTGGTATTTTAATGCAGGGTTTCTTTATACGCAGACTTCTTCCTGAAATGGTTCACTCAGGGCTAGAGGTTGCTGAGGCAGCTCTAGATCAGACAGGACACACATTGTTCACAATGCATCGTAAATACCGATAAACTGTTAATTTCTTTTACATGTTGCTTTTCCCCTACATATAGAGCTTAACATTCATTTCTTACTGAGGGAGGAATGAAAGATTACAAAAAGGTGGACTGTGATGGGGGAAGATGATGGCAGGGGAGGCTGTGGATGTGTACAGGTGAGAGATACCAGTGTGTGGAAAAATCTCTGCACCTTCCTCTTGGTTTGGCTGTGAGCCCAAAGCTGCTCTAAAAAAATATATATTTTTTTAAATTTTTAAAAAGAGCAGAAAAAGTTACACTAAGTAGAAGAAAAAGAGCTGCGAGTTATCAGTAATGGCCCAGAAAGATGTTCAGTCCAAGCTCTGTCTACCAGACTGAGGCCCAATTAAACCTTGACCTGGTTTCACCGGGACTCCTGACAGGGAGCCATGATGGTTCAGTAGGATGCAGACGACCTCCATTGTACCAACACATCCAAGGCCACAGAAGATCTACTAATGTGTTCTTCAGATCACGCATTTCCTGGGTTTATATATTTTTTTCACCTTTTAATGTTTACAAGATTGGATTCATCTTAGATTCAATGTGTGCATTTCATGCAGTTGTTTATCTTAACCCTAAACTACAGACACATCTTTCAATCCAAGTGCCTTCGGAAGGCAAAGGGAAACTGAAATCCACCACTGTAGACAGAGGCAGCCAATTAGCACGGCCATCTAAATCCCTGTGAGCGGCTGAGTGAGGCCAGCACTGGACAGAGAGAGGCTCTGATTCCCTTCCAGGTAGTATCACTGGAAGGCAACTAGGCAAGCGACACTGACTTCATTCATCTGAGGCGGCTTTGGTTTACAGCCATCACTTTCTTTCTTTTTTAAGAAATAGCAACGGCCGAAACCGGTTTGGCTCAGTGGATAGAGCGTCGGCCTACGGACTGAAAGGTCCCGGGCTAGATTCCGGTCAAGGGCATGTACCTTGGTTGCGGACACATCCCCAGTAGGGGGTGTGCAAGAGGCAGCTGATCGGTGATTCATCGATGTTTCTAACTCTCTGTCCCTCTCTCTCCCTCTCTGTAAAAAATCAATAAAATATATTAAAAAAAAAAAAAGAAGAAGAAAAGAAATAGCAACGAAGAAACCTTTACTAAGGCCCAACGATACAACCAAGTCAGTCACCCGGGTCCAAAATGCTATACAACATTAGCAAAGCTATTAAACCCGTTACTGATAACTCAGTTTTTCTTTAAGGGTTAAAAAAAAAGGGGGGGGGGGATGGGAGGAGGGAGAGATTTCACAAGCTTTCTAGGACTACGATCAAGCAATCAGATAAAGCAATTAAATCAAGCGATTTGTCTTACTTTTGATAAAGCTTTTCAAAATAGTTAACTATTATATTTTGTTATTTATCTATCTACTTACTAGGATGGGCCAGGAACTTGAAAGTGATACTTTAATCTTATGTGGCAGCTGTTAATCTCACTTTACGGAGAAAGAAACAAGAGACTCGAAGAGGCTGCTTGGCTAGAATCAGGCCTGGGATTCGAAGCCAAGTCTGGCTGATTGCAAAGCTAACTCTTTCCACGTCATCAAGTTGCCTCCAGCAGATCCTGACTCACTGGATCTCCCTCATCCATTCACCTTTAGCTGCGTTCCTGAATAGAACACAGTCTCAAAATTCGGTATTTACCCACTGCTATCACACTCTGCCCGTCGCGCGAAGTGCTTTCTTATTGATGTGGTTGCTTCTAATAAAGCGTTATGAAAATGAGAATGTGTGCATGTGTGCGTGCAAGTGTGTGGATGGGGAAGGGGGGCATGCAAGGGAAGATGTGGAATTTTAGGTAAATTTACAATGTAATCAAACAAAGGCCAAGATATTGCTATCAACTTCTTATTTCTCCCTCCCAAAAGAAATTGCTAGATAGGCTACTTCTTTGTGAATCACGGCAATAAACTGCCTTCAATTCAGAGTCTTGTGGTTTCCACAAATGCACTTGCCACAACTGATTTGTTTCATCCACGGCATAAACGTGGCATAACTCACTTTGGCTGCAGAAACTCTGAAGTCTATTTTGTATTAGAACAGCCAATTTGCACACAAAACAGAAAATACATAATATATATAGTTTGTCCCAACAATAGAATCCAAATACAGAATTTCAAGTGAAAAGTAAATCTCAAAAACCATTATGTCAGCCAAGGACAATACTTCAAAAGAAATGAAGCCAACCAGCAGCCAAAAGATGGTTCCTTCCATTTATCTGAGAAAGTTTATACCCCGGAGACAATCCAAAGCAGTATCTCTGGTCCAAAGATATGGCTTTAATGGACTGAACTCTATGATTCAAACTAATCAAGAACTCCTTCAGGGCTGGCTGGAGGCAGGGAAAAACAAATAGAAGCTTTCAACGAGGGTGAGCTTTTATGAAGCAGTAGTCTCTCCACTAATTAACTGTATTCCATACTGTTCGACCGGAATGGTTACACTGCCTGGCAGTGAAGTACGTACAGAATTACCAACGGGCAGAAAGAAGGCACACAACCACGGCTGCGTACAGTGGGACGATGACTGGGGAAATCTCCAGCTCTCCAATGGCAGGCAGAAAAGGGCCATCTCAACAGGTGTGTCACTGTCCCCAGCAGGATTTCATTTTTTTGCACAGAAAGCTGGTCCGGGGTCGGGGTTTTTTGGGGTAGGGGGTGTAGCAAAATGGGAAAAGAGTATGAGGAAAGCAAGGTTCATGGAATTGAGGAGATCCAAGCAACATGTAGTAGACATTAGTTGGGGATGCTCACCAACTCACCATTCTCCCGACACTCAGGGGAGCCCCAAAAGCTATGTGTCTGTACTGTCAAGGACGAAACCTGAAATTGCTTTTGCAGTGTGGCAAAAACAGTCCAATACCCGCAAATGAATAGGACTCAATCTCCTGCGCATGGCTCTATCCTCCCATCCATCCAGCAATGAGATTCTCTCTTGGGGATCTGAGATGGTCAGAGCTGTGTCACCTTAATGAAAGCACTCCAGAGGAGGTTCAGCACCCCAGATTCCTGCCCTACCTAAAGTTCAGCGGTGCAGCAATTCCTTTAACACTGCAGGCTTTCCAAGAACCCTTTCAATAACCAGTTATAACAAATAACTTGACGTTGCAGCCCAAGAAACCTAAACAAGTATTTATTACTAGAGGCCCGGTGCACAAAATTTGTGCCTGGGTGTGGTTCCTAGGCCCAGAGTCTGGCATGGAAGGGCAGGTCCCAGGTGGCCTCTGGGCCCCGCGCACTCTCCTCTGCCTGAGTCATTGGGCTCCTGAGTCTGTGGGGTGATCGAGTGCAGGGAGTTGGCCCTGCCCCTTGCTGCTGCCAGTCAATGTCTGTAGGGTGATCGGGCCCAACCCGGCTCCCTCAGCGCCTGGGAGCCGGGCGGGGCCCCACCCCCCACTGCCACTGCTGGTCACTGTTGGAGGGGCGATCAGGTTCCACTTGCACTTGCCTTGGCCTGGTGCAACCAGCTCACCTGCTCCACCATCTTGCCGTGGTCCCACTCTTGTCGAGGCCCGTAGGGGGCCCATTTGGGCCGGCAGCACTTCCACTGCCACCCGCTGCCAGTGCCACATTGCCATTGCCTGGCATGTTCCATGCCGCCCCCCCCCCGGTGGTCAGCGCACATCACAATGAGTGGTCGAGGGTGCAATTTGCATGTTAGGCTTTTATTATATATAGAATGTTATTATGACTGTGAGCCTAGGAAGCTAGATGGGTGGTTCCAATGGACAGCACAGCAAGCAAGCAAGAAAGGTTCCCGCTTTCTTCTTTTGGAGACCTTAGAACTGTTGCACCTAGACAGACCTGCTCGAGGCACGTTGAGTAAATTGATGGAGAAAATGGTGTTAATAACATGCATAGTGACACTCAAGGACTTTGGTTATTTTTCATGGTAACTTAAAGAAATTAAAATGAAATAAAGTGCTATTTTTTTTAAAAAGTCCCTAGAGTTATCATGATCTTGATTTCCACTAAAAAGAACCTATTTGAGCCGAGACCGGTTTGGCTCAATGGATAGAGCGTCGGCTTGGGGACTGAAAGGTCCCGTGTTCGATTCCGGTCAAGGGCATGTACCTTGGTTGCGGGCAGATCCCCAGTAGGGGGTGTGCAAGAGGCAGCTGATCGATGACTCTCTCTCATCGATGTTTCTAACTCTCTATCTCTCTCCCTTCCTCTCTGTACAAAATCAATAAAATATATTAAAAAAAAACAAAACAAAAAACAAAACAAAACAAAAAACAAAACAAAAAAAAACCCCAGAAGTTAAAAAAAAAAAAAAAAAAAAAAGAACCTATTTGAGCTTCAATCAGCACTCGGCCTGGCAGGTATACTCACCTCCCCCCTGACTCAGTGTGAGATGGCACAGGGTACAGGGACTAGCAGCCAAATAGAAGCTCAGATAAATTAGATGTAAGCCTATATAATTGGGGACCAGCTAGAAGTAGAGAGGATTGTCCAAATCTCAAAGCATACCATGCCCTCAGAGCCAATAAAAAGGACCTCACCTTCTCTATGACATGGTAAACCTTTTGTTTATCGCCATGCGGCTCTCTGCTTCAAGTGGCCCAGAGGATGGATACTTTTAACCTTACACCATCCTAATCACTGAATTATAAAGATATTTTAAAATACTTTGTAATAGTTTTAGACATGTTCACATATTGCCATGTATTAAAAGCAGCAACAACGAATGCTGCTGGGACAACTAACCAACAACTTGGCGAAAAGTAAGATTCTGTATGCAAAATAATTTCCAGATGAAGTAGAAATGTAAATATGAAGAACAAAGACATAATCATATGGAAGGAAATATAGCTATAGTTATATTTATAATCTAAGGGTAAATCCAGGTATGACACCAAAAGCAGAGATCAAAAAAGGGAAAAGACCGAGATTTTACTACAACAACAAAAAACTTCTCTGGGAATAAATACATGATAGTCAAAATACAAATTAAAAACATACTTGATAGTGATAAGAAACAAACTAAACATAATGAATAAAAACGGATGTTGAGAGCAACTAATATGGAGACCAATATAGGAATGTGTATAAAAACCTTAAAAATGGGCTAACACCCTTTTTACCATAAAATTTCACTCCTAATAACTTACCCTACAAAAACAATTTTCTTATCGAGGATATTCACTTCAGTATTGTAATAGCAAAAACCGAAAACCCACCAACATCAGTACATTAAATTATATTCCATCTGTTCAATGAAATAATCTATTGCCATTAAAAAAAATTGAATGAGGTCCATATTCACTGACATGAAAACAATCATAATGTACATTAGAAAAGTGTGATCTTGCCCCCCTTTTGCTTCGAGGATAAACGCAAAATTCTTTACTGTGGCCTGCATGGTCCTGCTTGGTATGACACCAGCCTAATTCTCCGCCTCAGCCTGCCCCAGACTTCTCTGTCTACTCTCTCCAGACACACTCTCCCTTGAGTTCTGCAACCCATCATGCCTCCTCCCATAGGCCTGTTGGCCAACTATTTCCTGTGCTGACAATAAACTGCCTTTCCTTCTTTGCCCAAGTACTTCCCATATATCCTGTGGACCTGGATCTCAATTCAGTCAGAATGGGACTTAGGACACTGTGAGCCGCTCCTTCACGAGGCTTTTCACAATCATAACCTGGGTTAGTGACTGTCTCCCTCACTGACACGAAGACTCCACCAGGACATCTGTGTCTGCTCAGCACCATCACCCCAGTGACGAACCCATCTCGTGCAATGCAGAGGCTGAATAAACATCTTTTGGTTGATCGAATGCATATTATGAATGGAAGAAATGAGGTGAAGTAAGTAACAGGCCAAACCAGTAGTAGGGAACAGATAGGATTTCAAAACCTAAAAGCTATCAGCATAGGTAAGAATTGCAAAAAAAATTTATCTCAGCATCAAGACTGAATCTGCCCATAGCCATGTTAAAAAAAAAAAAAAAATTGTGTGTGTGTGTGTGTGTGGAGTGTGGGATGGGGTGGGGGGAGGGCATGGCAACAACTCTCAAAAGACTTGCAGAGTCCTAAGCTATGCAAAGAGTAGTCAACGCCAAAATCAAGACTACTCTTTGCCTAGCTTCTTAAATCAAATAAATGAGTGCATCTGCCCCCACGTTGTCCATGTTACGAGTAAGTAGCTACATTCAGTTCACCCCTTCAGATAGACAAACACTCTTTTCAGCGCCTGTTGGTTTCCAGAAGAATCTGAAATCAGATGACTGCTTCAAGGTTACCCTGGAGATGGCTTTCATCACTGATCTGTACGCAAAGTATAGGTTGTAAAAGGGAAAAGATCTCGTAAACAGATATAACAATTGGGTAAGCGATGAGGTGGGAGAGGTGGGGCTTTGGTGAGTGAATAGTATCAGTCTGCTGAATTCACAGGCAGCAGGGAGTATTTGTCTCAATAAATATAGGCTAACAACTTCTCTCTAGTCACTTCTTATTTTCTGGTGGTGAAAAGATTATAGAAAAAGAAGTTTAAAAGCCAACAACTTATATAATGAACTTGTTAAACAAAATGTTATGTTGACCGCGTAACAGAGGAGTCACAAAAAGTGACACATCAAAGGTCAAACGGTCCAAATAATTAAAAAAAACTACATGTATGTTTCCATGGTCACCGCTCCCTTCAAAAGAAAAAAAAAAAGGTGAAACATATGGGTGGGTTTTTTTTGTGTTTTTTTTTTTTTAAGTTCAGTTTATCATTACCTAAACAAAATAGCTACAAACATGAAAACTTGGTATTTAGTCAAATGAGAAGGCCAGCAAGTCATAACCTGGAACTTGCCCCGGACTGCGGACAACCTCTGCATAGGTGCCAGGGAGGGGAGTCCCTGGACCACAGCCATAGGCAGCTAAGGTAAGGCAGCTAAGGTAAGTCAGCGGCAGACGATTCAGGGGTAACAATCAATACCAATGTGTGCACGCTGAGACAGACACAAAGCTCCTACCAGGAAAAGGTGGCCAGACACTCCTATGAAAGAGAGGCAAAAGCAGAAGAGGTAATGAGGCAGCACTGTTATCTTTCGCCATTTAGGTATAAAACATTAGGTACAAGACATTTAGTACCTTGATGTGTTTGCGTAACTGCATTGCTTCAATGAGATCAATAATACCTGGAATAGGCTAGATAAAATTAAGCCAAGTGTTAAATTTAGGTTATACAATTCTTCAACCCTGCTCTAATTCAGTATTTTTTTCCTTTTATGTTTTGACATCAGAAAAGAACTGCTACTATTTTTGTTTTTTTAAGCCCACCCACAATTTATAGGGGGCGGGCGGGGGAGGGGGGGGAGAGGAAAGAGCACACAGGAAGAGGCTGCACAGTAGCATTAAGAATAAGGATTTTAGCCCAGCCAGTGTGGTTCAGGGTGAGCTTCGACCAGGAGGAGGTCATGGTTCGAGTCCTGGTCAGGGCATGTGCTCTGGCCCTGGTTGTGGGCTTGACCCCCATTTTGGGCAAGCAGGAGGCAGCTGAGAAACAATTCTCTCTTATCATGGATGCTTCTCTATCTCCTTTCCTCTCTCTGAAATCAGTAAAAATATATAGGGGGGAAAAAAGAAAAGAATAAGAACTTTAGAGCCAGATCCCAATCCCACCACTTGCTACCTGGGTGACCTTGGGCAATCGCTGGTCTCTTTTTGCCTCAGTTTCCTTCTGTAAAACATCCTGAATAATAATACCAATTTCACTGGCACAATACTTGAAGAGGAGTCCTTTTGTCCAGGCTCAATATTAATTTAGGCCGGGACCGGTTTGGCTCAGTGGATAGAGCGTTGGCCTGCGGACTGAAAGGTCCCGGGTTCGATTCCAGGCAAGGGCATGTACAGTGGTTGAGGGCACATCCCCAGTAGGGAGTGTGCAAGAGGCAGCTGATCGATAACTCTCTCTCATCCATGTTTCTAACTCTCTATCCCTCTCTCTTTCTCTCTGTAAAAAATCAATAAAAATATATTTTAAAAAATATATATTAATTTAGTTGGTTTCAATATAAAGCAAAATGTTGGAACTAATGTTTGTGAAAGTACAAAGACCTGGAAGACAGAATGCCTTATATGTTTCTATCGAGTAAGTACCGTTTGCATTTCTTGCTCCCTTTAATTAGAATTCTAAAACTCCACCATGTCATAAAACACATGAAAGAGCTTAAGTATTTAAGAGACCAATTTTTTCATACCTTCATGATAACGTCTATAAAAAAGTGTACACATTTTACTTTAATTCAATAGAAAGGAACGCCCCCTCCCAAAAACTATTGCTTATTGAGTACTTAATTTGTACAACACAAGTTGTTATGTAGCCCTTACAACTAACCATTCTATAAATCAGATGTGTCCCCATTTTTCAGATGAGAAAACTGAAATTCAGAGAGGTTAAATGATTTGCTGAATGACATCTACCTATATGACACACACTGACCACTAGGGGGCAGATGCTCAAAGCACAGGGTTGGGAACACGGAACAGAAGGATTGAATCTAAGGGGGAAGAGATTAACCAAAGATCTTATATGCATACTAGCGGCATGGATTCCTGCACGGGTGGGGTCCCTCCGAAACCAGCAGGCCGACATCCCCTGAGGGTGCAGGCCAGGCTGAGAGACCCCACTGGTGCAGAAATCCCTGCACCAGGCCTCTAGTATTCAATAAGGATAAAACTGGAATACAGACCCAGGGTATTTCTGATTCCAAAGTCTGTCTTCATAATCCCAGAGTATCTTGTCCTAAAAGTAGCTTTGTTATCTGAGTACAATAGTTTTTAAATATTTATCTTAATCATGGGTAGACTTTCAAAAAAGATTAGATTATCTTAATAAAAACTATGTTTTAAATAGTAAACAGGTCTTACAGAGCGTTAGTTCCACATCTTACAACAGCTTCCAAAATCAAATCGACCAATTGAAAAATCCTTGCATTAACTATTTAGTAGTTAAAAATGCTGGAAACCACCACTTCAGAATATTATTTCTGGAAAGCGTGGAAGGGAATTCTTAATTCTGACTTAGATACACAGGGCCCACTAATTGGCTTCCTCTCAATACTTGAAGAGGAGTCCTTTTGTTCAGGCTCAATATTAATCTAGTTGGTTTCAATATAAAGCAAAATGTTGGAATCAAGATGCATAATTTCTGGATCATATTTTTATGTTCCAATAGGCCATTCGTGTACAATGTGAAAGTAATTACAATAGGGACATTATCCACAACTGCTAATATTCTATTCCTCTTTGACAGGAAGTACTGAAGTGGTAGGAGGGACAATGCAAAAGCCAGGAAGTAAGCCTTGGGGACCCAGGGCCCATCACTGCTGGTACTTTGGTGAGCAATGGACAGACAGGTTTGGATTTAAACCAGATCATCCTGGTTAACCACTCGCTCAGGATAAAATCGTTTCTCAATTAAATCCAGTTTCCTAATCTGGAAACTTGTCCAGCACATGCATGCGGGAACGGGCCTTTTATTCCATCTGCATTCTCTAAGGAGCCTATCCCAG